ATTGTAAGCAAACTAATTACAATAACACCAATATTCACAACAGACCGTGTACTCTTTTAGAGGAATATTATTTTATAATATCAGAAAAAATTACAGATAGTTTAAAGAGTGCATTGAGTACAGTAAGATAATTGAGGCCCAATTACAAGATTTCATAAATAGCTTTCATAATTAGCAAGGTATTCTTTACAAGATAACTACGGTACTTTATACCATAATATAAGAAATAATATTATTTGCTAAGCCTATTCGGTTATATCTAATATATTACTAAAAATATAGATAATATTTTTATATTTATTTTAGTACATCTTAAATGTTTTTATTTACTCTGTGCTATTATTAAGTTTCTTAATTTGTAGAATCAACTTAAAAAATCTCATTTGTATATTATTTATAGCTATTTAGACTAAATAAGTAGGTCACAGAATAAACGCAATTTTTTACCCCGTTTTGCTTGTTTGAAAGGAGAAGTATTATACAATGCATTCCTAGGCCCACATAGTTAACTAAAAAAGTAGTGTCATTTCAACAAGACCATAATAACAACCCCTTCCCATGGGTTACCAAGAGATGACTAAGGGAGCTTGCGTCTGTCTCTCTTGAAACATCACCAATGCCTAAGGTTGCCAACCCGTCTGCCAAGCATGGCAAGTACTAGTTAAGACCCCATCATACATTTTTCAAATTGCCAACCGGTGCAACACCTGAGCCCAAAAGTTCTTTTTGCATTTTTTAGAATAAAAACCTCCGTCCTCAAAATGCAAAAGGATCGTTACGGTAAAAACTAAAAGAAATTTCTATATACAACTGACTCACAGGCTAATGAACGTAAAGCCGCAATTAGTCTAGTAACATGAAATTTTACACAAAGGGTTCTTTCTAATTATACCTGTCGTAAGTGAGCAGTTGTGCACCTAGGGATTTTAGAAACTCTCGCGGGATTAAAACATGCAGAGTTTGTCCGGGAAGAGCTACCAAACTAATAGTAGGATTAAAATATTCAAAAACATAATGAAATGCAAGTATATAATATAATATTTTTTTGTATAAGAAAAAAACTGGTAACTTTTAATATTTACACATGAATTATTTCACTTACAAAATATCTGTCATTTTCATTACTTGAACGAAATAATCGACCCAACAAATTCTTTGAGGCTATATATTATATTTTAATTGCTTTAACATTTAGACCACGCTACTGTCTATACACAATGATATTTTATGTTGTACGTCCGCACATTTTAGTTAATTCAATAAGCACCTTGATGGTATGACGGTAGAGCCAGAAATAGGTATCCATTGACGCCCGCTAAGTGTTAAACTAACGTCGATACATTTCTTGTCGAAGCTTTGACGTAAGCAATATTAATGAGTACTACTCTACGTACTATAACAGTTTTAAAGTATCTATATTTGATGTTATTATTTATATAATACAATAAAAATATAGTATATACATATATGCTCACGAGTATAATCCATGAACTCTCGACATGCCTTTTCGCCGAGCAGATTAGAATAGTTATATTATTATTTAAATTTATTTAAAATAATAATATGTATACGTCGTATATGTCAATAATACTACAAATTTAATATTTTTGTATCTAAGGAAACTACGAAAATTTAAAATTCCTTTTTTAAATATTTACGGCTAAATGAGATGTTAACGTATTCAGTACAAAGTCTATCAAAAATTAGCTAGACACATATACAGTTCAGTAAATAAATTAAAAGGGATTTTCTACTATTGTCTGAGAGCGACTACGTGTTTGAACCAAACTACGTAAACAGTTCATGATATCATATCATAGTAGATCTTTTTAATCCCTTAATCACAATCTTACCTACCTATTTGCGTCAATGATACGCGTAATAATGTATTTAGAATAAAAAATAAACATTGTTATCAAGATTAAGCAATTAATTTTATAATTAGTAAGTTACACTCTTTAAATACACACGTAAATATTTCCTTAGTAATATAAAAGTGTACTTTTTTCATCGTTTCCACGATATTACTGTGGTAATACCGTAAGAAAAAATGTTCTTTTAATATTTGGCAATTCATATAAAACAATAAAACTGAAATATGAAGCTAACAAATGCAAAAAAATATATAATCATTATAATCATTAAAATTGATTAAGAAATGACGAAGGTATTACATAATATATAAATGTGTATTTCTATAAAAAGGTGTTGTAAACAACTTGTAAAAATATCAATCTTCCAGATCAATGGTTAAGCTATGTTTTCTACTATTCACTACTATTCATTTCAGTTTCTACTATTATGTTACTATATTGGTTTAAACACAATATAAACACTATATCATCTATACTCATATAATAAAGAGAAACGACTTGTTTGTTTTTTGTAATGAATAAAAAGTTTACAGCCGATTTTAAAAAATCTTTCACCTTTAGAAAGCTATTTTTTCTTAACATAAACAATAAAAAAGGGTCTATAGGTACTATTTACCTGCAATATTATATTGCGTTAAGTCACGATAGTGTATTTAATAGTAACATACACTATATATAATTTTCGAAAATTCTATCTACTCACGCGAAGCCGGGTCGAATCACTAGTAACTAAATATAGCTAGTAAGCTATTGAAAATAGCTGGGGTACTAGCTATATCGTTTCTACTCTACGGACAGAAGAATGCATGATTAAACATATGGGTGACGCAAGTGGCCGCCGCTTATCGATTTCATTATTTTTTTATCTTCCGCGTTCGCGCTTTCTAGCCTAGTTAAAGTAATTAATTATTAGCTATCTATTCAGTTCATTGACTATAATACGTACTAATAACATTTCCATGTTACAAACAAAAATGTTTTATAGTAAGTACTTGCCTACATTACTGTTGAAGCCGATAATAAAATACTTAAGCGACAACCGCGTAACATTGGAAAACGACACGAAACCGAGTTCTTCGCGAGTGTTTTTATTGAAACGAGTTAGTAATATTCAGGCAAAGACTTATATAATATGTACTTTTCTTTAATTTACCAAGAAACAACTATTTAAAAAATATAAATGTTTAAATCTATCAAAAAAGTAGGGTGACAGAGCCTATTTTTTTTTCTTTCTTTGCAACTTTTGAAAACAAATGTACCTTGCGCGTTTAAAAATACTAATAAGTGGATATATATTATGTACATGTATATGTAATTAAAAATTTGATAAGAAAAAAAACAGCGACGTGGACCGTAACAGAATTTATACAGGACAATTCGAACGTACAAAAAATCACAATTAGTTCAGAATTGGCATAAATGTCGTGTAACATACATACAAATCAATAAATATACGTACATATAACTATACCGGCGAATTAAGATCCGTCTCCTCTATGGAAAATAGTAAAAACACATATTTATTAAATAGTATTACTTATTTAAAAACCTAAACAAAACTCTCCATCAATTTTTTTATGTCTGTCATGATGAAAATTACTAGTATGTTTTCGTTAAAGTCGAAAGAGCCGATTGACGATCTTTTTGCATGAAACAATTTCCGTATAAATTAGTGAAAAATAGAGTGTATAAGTCCTAAAACAAGAATTCTTAATATGTGTGGCTAAATTATTACATGCGGATAGTGTTAGCCATAAATACAATATAAATACTTATTTATTATAATGCAAATTTCTATTCATTATTAAATAAAATTAACTGCGAATGTCGCCACATTTTAATAAATAAACAAGCTAAAATATATTTAACATTTTAAGGCTACTACATCGGACCCCAACCATAATCAATTTACGAGTAATATGGGTTAAAATAACACCCTAAAGGGCAACTACGATGGTAAACTAATTACTTCCATATATGCATATCGCCGTATTATATATTAATATATATTTCTTCTATATTTGTTAGTATTGCTTCGCATTAAATGTGTAAGTTATATTAGATTTAATAACATTATTTTTTAGGAAATTTAACGTACAGAACAAGAACAATATAGTTTAAATGCTTGAACTACGTTTTATTACATTTAAAAATGTTTAATTAGTACAGATTGATTACTCATATCTAAATTTCTTCTAACTATTGTAGTAAAAAGGAAATCTGCCTAATAGAGTGCAAATCTCGTTTGCCAAAAAAATCTTAAATGTGTAAAAAGAAATATAATATCAAACGAAGCATTCTACTCAGTACAATATTTTGTATTATGTAATGGAACCTAGAACCTATATACTACGTATCCAACACGTATTAGGTTTGCTTTTTATAACTTAATGTACACACGTTGTTATAAATATTTATGAATAAAATTTCCCAGCTACCTAATTTCGTTAATATAAAGTAATGTACGAACTTTTCTTTTGAACTCGTAAAAGAAAAATATTATATGCTACATAAACTCTAGGTGTCAGTAATATTAAATGAAGTTATAAAACATTCAGCGAAGGAAGTCCGTATCCTCCTGCACTCTAAGAAATTAAAGGATCCGACCAATCTCCGACGAATCTTAATTAGAAGGGAAATTGGTGAAGTTGAAAGAATCGTGTCGTGAACTCGACCTTCTAATAATCCCTGGCATTTAGGAAACTCTCGTAATAATGTTCCTACTTTTACTACATACATACAATTTGCAAATATATCCAACAATAATCCTGAAAGCATATTTAATTAATATGTTACAATCGATAATCGATCATGTATGTATAATTCTCACTTATTATAATTAATATACTATTTTAACAATATAATAAATAGAAAACTATAAATCTACAATAGATCATGGACACTAGATATTTAGTTGTCTGGAGTCAATATTACAGACACCGATTTCTAACTTCTAGGAAAATTCTGCTATTATATAAACTTGGCACTACACCAAGTATTTCTAAGCTTACATAATTGCATAATTATTTTCAATGAATGAAAACTATTGTATCAATGGCGCTTTTGAGTGAATTGCTTATTCTATGTACGAGTATTAATGTGGCATTAGAAATTTTCTGTACTTACCTTCACTCATAAAGTAAGGTATCCTAAATCTTCCTGATAATACTCGATCCCTTAACGACTGGAGAGTAGAACCGTCAAAGGGTAATGCACCACACACCAGCACGTATAATACCACACCGAGGCTCTGTAATAAGAAAATATAATTAATTATACGCTTAATTTATTATGGCATTCATCTTATTTTACTATTATATAAATGCAACGCAAAGTAGGTAAACGATTTCTATTTAAGGAAATTAAATTTGTCTTCATACTTTCCATTTAATTACATACTAAGTTACTTTAAAAAACATTTCCAACCTATTACATCATATGAATAATATGTAAACGATTAATGTAAATCATGCATCAAAGTATATTTTTATTAGCTTACATAAAGTACAGCTATTTAATATCTGTCTAATAACATTGGAACTGGATGGTATACAAAAGTTTAATATCGTACCCATATGTCAATTTCAGGACCGGTATATCGTTTGCCTTCGAAGACCTCAGGGGCGGCGTAGGGTGGGGAACCGCACCAGGTCGCTAGGAGTTCCCCCGTCGCATAGTAGTTACTGAAGCCGAAGTCTGCGATCTTGATGTTCATATTCGCGTCCAATAACAAGTTCTCCGCCTAAATAGCAAAAGTTTTCTTATACAAAAAGTCGACAAGTTGTGAAAGAGGGTCCAATGTTTCGAGATGGACTTACAAAAACTTGTTTTTGTATATAAACCATATTATAAAAGTGTAAAGGGCGAAACTCAGTAATCCTATTATATGTATGTCTGCAGTATAAAAATAAACAAATATAAGCGACAGAAATATAATTTCATAGTAAGAGTTTCACAGTTTACTATTACTATAATTAAAGCACTTTTATTACGTTAGAATTATGATTGTGTTCTCTGGCAAAAACCCCTCTTATGGAAGAGGCCTATATTAAGCAGTGGACAGGTAACGACTGATATAAATGAAAAAAATGGTATTTTTTATACAACCTAGAATGGCAAACAAGCTGACGGCCCACCTGATGGAAATTGGTTACCGTCGTCTATAGACATGAGCAGTACCATGGACATAACAGAGTATACTGTTTCGACCATGATATCCCCCATGCGTTGCCATTCCTGAGGACTCAGACGTTATTCCTCCGTACCCAGTAAATTCACGCCATACCCACCCTTTAAACCGAAACACAGCCATACAAACACAACTGCTTCACGGTTGAAACACGAATGGGACAGAGGTACCCAAGCAATCGACTTTTGTACAAAGTCTCCCTTTGGTGGTCTTGTGTTGCAGTCGTCTAACTACGTACGCCTAGCTTTTACTAATTTGTCTTTTTCTGATGTGAAGCGTCAATGCACGTGTTATTATGTTTGAGCCAATGAAATCTCTGACATACATAATTCCATTTACCTTAGTACATTCATTGTACTGTATATTGTTCATATCAGTTTGCAAACAATATGAATAAAGTTTAGGATTTAACAATATTGAAATAAAAAGTTTGCAATGAAATAACTAAATAAATTTAATTTGGTGCTTAGATAATTTGTATGGGCTCATTTAGAGAACATTTAGGGCACATAAAGAAATTAATTCTCGTAGACACGTTAGAATACAAAATTTTAAATTAAAAGTAACTAACGAAAATGTAGAATATGCTAACTATGCTAACCTTATTTATAAAATGGAATATAATATGAATTACATGTAAACTTAAAAAAATCATATTAGTACCATAGAATGCTGGATATAGTGACTGTATTTAAAAAGTTTATCTCGTTTTCCGAATGGTAACCATTATTTTAAAATATTGTAATGTAAAATTAAGAAAAGATGGTGGTGGATCAAACCTTGAGATCTCGGTGCACAATTCGCCTTTCGTGACAGTATTCAACTGCAGAGAGAATTTGCCAGAACTTTCTTCGAGCTGCCTGCTCCGCCATCCGGCCGTACCTCGCTATATAATCTGCAGGAAAAGATTAATTATGTATTAAATTAAGAAAGTGCCCTAAGTTCAGTTATATAATTTAGTTTGTTAATTCATTTAAAATTATAATGAACAATTTAACTAGTCGTACTCCAATAATATAGTCAATAATATAATAAATCCAATGAAACAAACCGATCATATTTAATATATCATTCCATGCCTTCCGTAGTAGCTAATAAAATTCGTAATAACAATTACTTTAAGTAAAAAAAAAAAGATAATAACTACATCAAATATCAATATAAAGGGTAATTAATAAATATCGACACAAAATATAAGTTTACCTAAATTACTCCACTGGTATTGATAACTAATAATGTTTAAAAAAAACACTTCCTTTTCGTTATCAGTTGTTTTCATTACAATAAAGCATATCTATTATAATTGTCATCGAGATTCGAGAAATTACTGGGTAACTATTATTCCAAAGCGATAGCACGCGATATTACATTTTGACAGTTCAGAAGTAGCAAACAGTCCTTTGATAAAATCGCATAACCCGTCGTGATAAAACGGCCAAGTTCACTACTAACACTCAATGCCCAATTCAAGGGCATCGGCAAATTTATTTATCCACACACAATTCCGCATTTACATCGTGAATACGGAACGAAAATTTAATGATTGGATGGCCTTAGTTGGCATAGTGTTAATTGCAACGTAGCGCGGTTATTTACGTAAGCAGACGCTCTTGACAATTCTGTGACTCAATATTTTTTAACATATTTGTAACATGTTGGTCCATTACTACATTAATATAGCTTAATACAAATTAAGTATAGCTTAATATAAATTAAACTATACCAATGATAATAATTGATATTATATAAAAGTATAAAATTTTGTTCCACAAAAAAAAACTGACTAATTGTGACAAAACCAGTTATTTTGATTTAAAAACTAAACTGCTGGATCGATTTCGATAAAATTTCATTGGGTCAAATCTGAAATTATATCTATTCAGATAAAAAAGAATTTTCCAACCCGATTTATAAACGACGGAGTTATGAGACAACAGACCTGTTTTTTGAAGTCGACTGATATAACACACTTTCAGTTCGATTAACATTTGCTCCTTTTCAGTTTTGCAACAATCAAACAGTTGCGAAATAACGAGATTTAAGATAAAATATCAATTTGGATGTTAATCAAATAGATACCTGCACAGCTACCGTAAAAGAGTCATTTAAAATCAATTGGGTGTTATCAGGTAATCTTTAAAGAGTATAATCATATTAAATGATAAGGCTCGAGTCTTTTTTATACTATTCAGAAGACTCTATATCTCTAAAATATTAGTAATTTTTTTTTATATTTATTTTAGCGAATGTTAACAACTTAGAAAGTTTTAACAACTTAGAAACATTCTTCGGAATAACGTGCATGATCAACTACGCTACACATAACAACTACAATAGATAATAATTAATAATTACACAGTATAAGGAGCAAAACTCTTTTCAAAAGTAAAAAAAAAAACAAACTATGATAATGTGACTCACATACGGTACCCTTCATGAAAAACACTGTCTTTTGTTTAAACTTCAAAAAGGAGGTTGTCAATTTGCCTGTATTTTAGTCTTTTGTGCGATATTTTCGTGAATTGTTAACCGATTCTAAAATTATTTTTGCAATCTCTTATATTATTTTGCCTCATTTCTTTTTTGTGAATTAAAATGTTTATTACTCTTAAAAGGGAAACAACAATACATACTCAATGTATTTGCATTTTTTATATCAGAACTCAGAAATAAATAAACAGTTCACTCTTAGATTATATAAAGTGTCTCCATACAAATTCTTCGAGAAAAGAGGATTAACTTTTTCATACAATTTTGCGTGATAAATAGTTATGAGTGTTTTCTTTATATCTTCTTTATTTATTTTTGTTCTATAATTTTTGCATATTTGCATGCATAAAAACTCATTTTATTTATTAAATAATTAAATATAAATACATCATTATGTGCATAAGTAAAATACTGATAAAAAAACGAGTCAGCTAATTTGACAAAAAGATGGCCCGTTTTTAGTCTTGATGCTCTATCTACATAAGAGTTCAACATACAAATCAAGTCGCTTCTCAATTCATGTCACGATATTTTAAAACACAAAAATCGATAAACGAAATGTTTTGTTCTTTTGTGGAATACCATAATTTGTCATATAAGTGAAAATCCAGCATTATCAGCTGCTAAATACAGATAATTAAATAACGCGGTAGATATTCACAAAAAATATCAACTTTCGGGGCGCACGAAGTCAGCTGCGCGCAAAATTGCTTTTCCCTGTCCCCCACTCAGTCCTTGCAACCCCTACAATACCCTTACTAGTGACGTCACTGCCAGCGTGCTTACGTCATAGACAAAGCGACCACGAACTTAGCGCCCTTAATCGATTTCGAGGTTACATTTATGCGCTTTTTTGTGGCGTCAATGTATAAGTACACCTGTATATTTAAAGCACGATTTAATATGTAGGTATGTCTGTATAGAAACATATAATAATAAAAGAAATGGCAAAATTATATGGGACTAACAAGAAAGTACATTTTATCAATCGTAAAAAAGTCATGTTCATTTCATTTTTAATGTAGTTCATTTTTTTAATGTAGCTTAAAACATGTTATTATTTTCCTATGGTAGACGCCCGTGGACTAAGAACTAAAATATAATTATTATTTTTTTTGGCTACTTTACAAAAATATACATTTACACAATTATACAAAATATAAGAATATCTTAATAAACCTGTTGTTATGTAATAAAAACTTTCGTCATCATCACTATCCTATTTTTTTTTTTAACAAATAAAAACATATGTATCATAATTTCTAATCTCAGATTCACCAAAAATTATTTAAAGGAAATATAAATAAATTTTATAACTAAATATAAGGTCTCGGTTTTATTTAATAAAATACAGCTTGTGTCATTTCTTGATAATGTTAACTAGTCTCCGATTGGGGATGACAAAACTTAGTCCAGTTTAACCCCGCTAAGACACAAGCTTGCAACGGATTGTGCTCAGAGGAATTGTTCAATATGATGCCCACATTCTACCATCGTACGGCTCGCCATCGACAGGGAGTTCATCCTCATGTCCTACAGCCTCAATGGTCGCGTACTGCGCGGTTTCAGAGATGTTTCCTCCCACTCAGGTTGTGGAATGATCTCCTTGCCGAGGTTTTTCCAAGAGCCTACAGCATGGGGTTCTTCAAAAGGGGGGTAAAGAGGTTTCTTCAGGGTCGGCAACGCACGTGTAATACCTCTGGTATTGCAGGTGTTCATAGGCTACGGTAATCACTTACCACCAGGTGGGCCATATGCTTGTTTGCCACCTCAGTGGTATAAAAAATATGTATCTTTCTACAGGTGAAAGAAGTTTTTAATTTTTTTAATTATTATTTGAGTTCATCCATTACAAACAAAAAATCTTTTCTCTTTATAATATAATATTATAGTTTACATTAAAATTAGAATCAGGTGACATTTTAATCCGAGGTAAAATTAAATACAATAAAGATGCATGATAAAATCTGACCTAAAATCAGGTGTTTAAATATATTCCACTCGCCATTTTTACCACTTGCTTCGGTACAAGGGTGCCTTGGCTTGGAACGGACGGCAAATTAATCATTGCTTTCATTTCAACCTTTTATAACCGTGATAGATCGCGTGCGCCCATAAAACATTATAAATCAATAAAAAAGGTAACATACAGGTTTTAATAGTACTTTACCTACATTTCTAATAAGTTAGTCGATGTAAGCATTTGCCGAGAATGACGTAGGTACATAATTATTATTTTTATATTATATTTCAATTTATTGTCAAGACTGAATTAATTTGACAAAATTAAAGTAATATGAGATTTATTATACTATGTTTTCTACAAATCTCTATCAGCCTCATACTTAGGCTCATCCTGCTTTATACATATTTCCTCCTTTTCAATCATTTCTTCCACAGTTCATCCACCTTTTCTTCGATCGTACCTTTCCTTTACATGTATCCCTTTATTAGCCTATATCCTTCTCCATCACTTATAGTATGCATATACCAAAATTTAGTAATTAGTTAGGCCGTTAAGGCGTTATACGCTAATAAACAAACAAACACACTCACTTTCACATTTATAATACATTTTTTTTATACGATTTATCAACATCTTGATCTCATATTCGGTAAATTTGTCATACGAAAAAAATATCATAAACATTATTAACCCAATTGCTTACCGAAAATTTCTCCTTTACTTGCATATTCTGATACGATGTAGATCATGTTTTTCGTCTCCATGACCTGAAACAAGAAATATTTTATGTAGAAATTCATTTATTGATTCAAAAATAGGTATGAGTTGCGGACATGTGCTTTCTTTGTACTTTGTAATAATACCAGAAGACTAGGGCTTTGTAAAAATATCAACGAAATAAAATAAAACTCCATTTACCCGATCTATACATGAAATATTATTACAAATATTAACTTTAGCATAACCTGATTATTTCTGTACCTATTGTAATTACAAATTAACACTGAAGTATAAATATTACATTGTCGCCTATCCGTAATAAGGACTTACATCATTGTTATTACATTAAGTCATTGATACCTAATTAGTAAATACTCCAATAAACTTATTTTCCATTTAACCGAACAATAAATTTCCCGTATTTCAGACATTATCAAGTATCTATAAATAATAATAATACAGTGCATAAATGGAGAGATCCAAACACCGGGAAACCTAGACTATTGTCAGATAATCCATGAATCAGATAATCAACAGAATAGGCCACCCCGTTCTTTCCCGTGGGTGTCGTAACAGGCGACTAGGAGCGAGGAATAGATGGCAGCGTCCCTGTTAAAATACTATCAAAGCGTAACTAAGTTTCCCAAGCCGCTTGCTAAGTGTGACGACTACTGGCAAACCCTAAAAGAGGCCTATGTTCAGCAGCAGATAGTTAACGGCTGATATGATGATAACGATGACTATATAGGATGTAGAAAGACATAGGCCACTATTTATTTCGGCCAATGAACGTATTCTGGCAATAATAATTTTGTCAAAAGGCTGTCTTTTTATTTATTTTTCGTAAAAGTTTAATGTTTGCGACTAATATTTTATTTTTCGAAGAAGGCGATAACATCAGTGAAAGTACAAATAGATATCTTTAAATATAAAATAGAATGTAAAATGTACTTGAGCAAATTTATATTATTATAAAAACAATTATATGTAATAAAAATTATAGGACCGGTATCGGATCATCCAATGTTAACTTCCGCAAAATCATGTTTACGATTTTAATTCCTACATAACCAAATGAAACTTATTATTATGCGGAAGTAATAAACTTATACTACTTGTAACTTATTTGTCTTGATCCTCAATCATATACCTATTTACTTAGCAACTTGACCGAAGGTCATGATTTACTACTTTTGGTCATGATATTTTAAAATAGATTGTTTATATACGAGTCTAAATTACACCTACTTATTATTATTATTATTTTAAAAGTAACAGTTACTTTTAAATTAATGGGAAAATTGAGAATTATTAACGCAAAAAAGAAAAATTAAAACTCTTCAGAATAACAATATAACAATAATGAAGCTGATATTCTTTCGGGAAATAATTTTAAAAGATACTTCTTTATTTCTTGGAAATTCTATCTCAAAAATTAGGAGTTGTGAGTAGTGACTCGTATTAAAAAAAAAGTCATATTAAAAACATAACGTATTTGAAATTCCAACCAGTATTAAAAAGAAACAAGACCGTATTTCCGTTGTAAATGTATCAATTACGCGATAACTTCGTCAATTCTGAACTACTCTTTTTATAACTTCCATATCTCTTCCACATTAATTTTAGCACAACTAAAAACAAATTTTAATGAAACATAATCTTCATTTGAATTAAAGTAAAAGAATGATTATGACATACACAAGAACATGCCTAATTTATTTTTAATATTTTTCAAGTTGACAGGTGGAAAAACACTCCTCATGAAGTCAAAAATGGATATCTGGAGATACCTATCAAAACCATCGATTTCTGTCCTAATCTTCTAACCTTGTTAATTCTAGAAAATTGCGCTATTTAAAAAAAAAATCCTATGTAAAATCAGTAAGTATTTGCATTTTTTATTTCCCCCATCTTTTTTTCTAAACTATAAATGTTTATATACGTTCCTAATAAAAATTTTATTGGTGTTATCGAGTAAGATTATGGAAGTTCACTGCATGTAAAGTTTTTGTTTAAATTCTGATATACATAATTATTTCTTATATCTAACGTTTTGTACCTACTCAGTCGTATTCATATTATGATGCTTCTTTGATAACATTATCTTATAAAATACTTGTTTGCTAAATAATTAAAAAAAGTCTCTACAATACTCTAACCTATGTAAAATAGCAAATGATATCACTGAACCTTTGGAACTTGGTTTTAAAAAGAAATTAAGCTGAAACTTTGAAACATGGTGGTAAAATAATCGTTTCAGTTTAAACCGCTGAAAACTTTAAAAGTTTTTAGCAATACAATTATTTATCTAATAGATTTATAACGATTAGATTATACTATAATATACCAGTTTAATTACAATTTAGACATAAGTACTTAAAATCTTTTCAATATTTAAAAGATAGACACACAATAATAAGTCTGATGTGAAATCTGATAAATTGATATTGTTACTATGAATTCTTACATTATATAGGCTATAAATATTGTAACTTAATTAATTCAATAAAATAAAATTTTTCAGATGAAAAGCGTAATGCGCATTGCCAGAGATGTGTGCGGTGGCGAAAAACGCTCGGCGGCGTGCCCGTGAACCGACCTCGGTCGTGGTAAAAATGTAAACCATCACTATAAATAAATATCTTTCAAATATGACTCATATCTGTCTGTCTGTCTGGAATTATAACAGCATCAAAACATACCGGGTTGCGGAAGAAAATAACAGATTTTTTTGCTCAGTCTTTGTTGTTTTATGTTATGGGCATGTAAAGTGAGAGCAGATATTTTGTATGTACTCGTACAACGGTATTATTACGATACGATAGCATTTTGTATGTTTTAATTGCACACACATTATATATACATACAAACGTATATAACGTATGACGTAGTTACTACAAGACAAAGTTTTGCTATTTGTCTTAATTTTATATGGAAGGAACGTTTTACGAGTTACAAGGAATATTAAATATCTATTTATAGCCAAAATATTACGAATACGCAATTAGGTTCGTATTAATTAGGAATGTAGTTTCAAACAACGGATATGAGCGTTATAATGTACAGAATGGACGGAAACGTCCTTCCCGTGGTATAAGGACAAACAGTAACCAGTCTCCATTCAAGACGAGAGAAAATGTTTGTATACAACTGGGTTGGCCTCCCATTGATCGAACAGAACTATAATATTGTCCGATGCATTGATACGATGTATACTGTTTACTGGACTTTACACAATACAAGTCCCATTGTTTCAATAACCATTGTAGTAGACATGGATAATATAGGTACCATTTGTATTGGTTTCTTCTGGACATTAATGCCAGAGAAAAGGTCATCACCCATTTCGATATTACCCATACCAGTCAGATATCTCTCTATCAGATTTATTTCGATTGGGTTCTTTGATATTATTTATTGAATAATAGATATTTAATATATCTGTCGTTGGGCCAATATATAGATATTGTACGTAAAATATATAGATATTGCTATTTATTACACATTGTAATAACGATTGAATTGTTTATTCACACATTTACATTTTGTATACATTTTTTCCAATTTATGAAAATAACTATCTAATAAACTTTTTTTATACGATTAATTATCAAAATGTTCTTTACTCATTATAATGGCAGGACCATAACGTAATAAGAACTGCACGAAGTAAAGTTCTTATTACGTTATGTTGCGATAAAGGCATAAAAAAGGAAAATAAACGATGTGTGTATGCGCGTCTAATTAACTTTTATTCTTCTTATTATTCGTGTAAAAAAAATTCACAAAAGTAAATTAGTATATTAAATTTTTCCGACCTATCCTCCTATTGTATTATAAGTATATTTTTATTGTTTTTTTTTTTTTGCTTTTTTTATATTCGAATGCTCTATACTTTTAGTATTATTTTTAATTTTATTTAATCTCATAGAGATTATTTATATAATACGAGTATCAGCATTATATTATAAAAGTAATAAATAGTACTTTTCACGTTTCCCCCTATATCCTACACACCTACTAGCAAATCCAACGTCTTAAAATTAGTGTAGTGTACTTGGATTTATTTAAACAAGCTTCACGAATGTAAAATTTATTTCGAGTATTTGCCAAGTATTCAGAGCAATTTTACTGTGTTAAATAAGATTCTCTGCTGATTAGTTATAACGCTGTCTGCTCTCTGGCTGACAATAAATAACAAATACTAAATCAAGTAAACATAAAACGTATGACTCAATCAAAACAACGCACATAATAATGTGACATGTGTATGCACGTAAGAAAATTTCCTGTTATAATTCTATTATACATATGTATTTATTAATTTTAATTGAACAACTAATTAAAAAGATTTAGATACCACTTATATAATTATTATTAGTATTAGATGTAATAAAATCAACAAGTAAATATAAGTGATTCTTCTTCACCCCATATATCACGTTCACACCAAATTTCATAGTGATTGGCTATAAGTTTTGGTAACAAACAAACTCAATTTTATATATTTATCTCTAATTATATATCTAGGTTATTTATAAATCAATGTAATTAACACGTATCAAAATTGTTATAATATATATTTGGTTAATTTTATATTTATCATATTAGTGAAGATTGTGCTTCGGTATAACGATTAAATTAATAAAGTACCTGGTTTGATCCTAAAATGTGTAACTTTAACATAACCGTATTGAAAATTACGCTATCAACAATGATTAAGTACTTAATATGATTAATTATTGAGATATAGAGATATAACAGTTTAATAGTAAATGTAATTAATTAAAACTATCTGAGATATAATATACATAATTAACGGGTTATTACTACGATTGTTTATTATTGATTATTTAATACATAAATAATCGTAGTAAGAACCCGTTCCTTATTTAGATACATTTATTTATTTATATATACATTTTTTGATGAGCTTTACAGATTTACCAATGCACTCACCAGAAACTAAAAAATCAAACATTATAATGATACTATAATGGAAAAATAATTAAATAATTTAGTGTAAACTTCTATATTCAGATCATTT